ACAAATGACGAACGGTCTCCTGTATCCTTTGTGACAAGGAAATGCCAATACGCCTGCTGTCCAAAATATACACCTCAGTCGTGAGGCCGGTAGCTGTTTATGGAGCAGAAACGAAACAGATGACGGCTGACGAAGCAAGAGCCTATGGATCCATGGAGATGAAAATGTTGCGATGGTGCCTGGGACACACGCGTCTAGACCGCATTCGGAATGAACACATACGAGACAAAATCAAAGTTCAACCTATCGCCAACACCCTTGCTGCCTCACGCCTCCGCTGGTACGGTCATGTCCTACGAAGACCCCCTGATGCTGTGTCCAAGTCGGCAGACAACATAGTGTTCGTCGGTACACGTCCAAGAGGCCGACCCAGAAAGCGATGGCTAGACAACCTGAAATACGACATGAATGCTGCGGACCTGTCTGCAGCCGATGCATGGAACCGGGATCGCTGGAAAACATTGGTTACCCGACAAGAGTTGGACAACAACGCTAAGAAGAAGAAGTGCATTCAACAATTAGACCTGGGACGTTAGTATACAACCATTGACTCTTAAAAAGAGGCGGTAAATAAGGGCCCTGATTATGATATAATGAGTTTGACTATCGCAAGTTAACCCTAGAGCAAACCACGAGCTTGGAAAGCACAGAACAACAAGAACAAGAGAGAAGCGATTGAAAAGCTAAAAAAGGCTGCACAAAGCAACTGAAGAATATGTGGGATTGCAGCCGATTCATCAACTCTTACTTATGGTTAGTGGAGTCTGGTCAGAGAAAAGAAAGACCTTGGGACTGAAGATGCGCAGATATCACGTGTGCCACGTTGACCCCCACTAACAATCCTTCGGAGTACTTTTAACCATAGGGTCAACGTGGCATCTGCGTCTGCGATTCTGTGGTCTTTTTTCCCTGCTCAAGTATGAACTAGCTATAGAGGTTATCTGTCTGAGCAATAAGGGCATCTGATTTTAATGTTGCTATGGGGTTACCGTGACCTAATGTGCTGGAGAGCGCTTTAGACCTGTTGGCTAACCTTGACATCTATCTGAACCAATCGCTTTAACTCTGACTCAGGGGAAGTTCACTACCTTCTTTTTCAAAATTGCAGCAAGCGTAGCCCTTGAAGATACCGGCACATCTGTAGTGCCAATTTTGAAAAAGATTGTCGCGTGAACCTCCCATACCATAGTCATGACTTTTAAAATGAAAATTTCAGTATATACCTAATAAATCGGTCTGCGGAATCCATTTAGAAACGACAACGTTTTCCACACCTGCCACAAGTGGATCGTCCAATTGCTCGTATCTCCAAATGAAGGTGATGTCGGGGTAGCTGCAATAGGTATAATACTTAGTGAATGGTTCATTCAGTTTTTGCATGAATGCCCAAGGAGTAAGCTTGAAAATTGAATTCCTAAACTCAAGGCGGTGGCAAGATTTGAACATTTCAGAGTCGAAGTCATAAAAAGTAGTTCGAAATCGAACAACTCATAGTCCTTGGACGAGTAGGTGCCCTGCAAAAAGCCACCGAGAAGAACGAGCTGATTCTTCGACGCCGTGCACTAATTCGTGTTTTGGGAAAGGGGTGAGGGCGTAGTGGTCTATTTGAATAATAAAAAAGATCGATGGAAAAAATCGGAAGAAAGGTACCATGAATTTGGTGCTATAGTTCCAATAAACTTGAAAAAATGAGCTGGCCTGCTTCTGCGGGATTGCTGCCGTGTTCTGAACTATTTTAGAAAACAGTTCACCCATTCAATGGATACATTCAGGGAGTTTTTTAATTCCCTGGAATTTCAACAACGAAAATGTAAGGTGATTTCACGGACCAACTTGATAGGCGTTACTCTGTGTATTTGTTCATGACTCTGCTTTCGTATTAATGAATGCGAAGCTGACAATTCCAATCAGTCCTTCAGCGTGTTCTGCTAAATAGAAGCACAGTGAACTCACGACTTCACTACGTCTACGATAGTCTTCTTGATCTCCGCTGGCATGGTCCTGGTTGGCGCTACAGTACCAAAAGAGAGCAGAACGTTTCGTGGTCTAAGATTAAGCACTTGATTCCATTGCTTAATTCAATGTTTTCGCATTCAGCAGAAAACTTAAAAACGGAGTTCAGTAGTACCTCGTTCAAAGGCTTTGGCTCACGTACTCCTAGCCCGCCAATATGAACAATTTTATGCAACGTGGGTCTGTCAAAATCCAAAAATGGCTCCGAATTGACGAGAAACCACGATATATTCGACACGGTATCCTGTAATGCACAGTCAACTCACGACTTCACTACTTTTATGATAGTCTATGATCATGTAAGACTATTGGTTTTTGTGATGTTACCCATATAGGCGTTGCGGTTGGTCCCAGCTTCTCTCTCATTGCCTCCTCCACTACGCTTGCGATGTCAGACTGCCATTTCCAGGAAACGATTGTAAATAGAAGGTTTTGCGCTCTTGTCCAAACATCAATACAGTCCCCTGTGATTCCGAAAGATGCTGAAATCGCTGAGAATACACTAATATCCTAGAATGCATGCCATAATAAGAAATATTTGGCTGCCCCCTAAGTAGTGTCAAATCCTTTCATAGCGGAATGCGAAAATTTGTAACCGACCTTAGCCTGAATCCATTTCCCCATGGAGAATTCGACCGGTGATATGCGATCTACTTAGTCATGACCTGTCTTGATTATTCTGCAAGGCTGTCGAGAAAGTTTTGTCGCGTTCCTTTCCCAGTTTGGTTTATTCTTGAGTGCTAAGCCACAGCTATTTTTAAACTGGAATTTTCTGAAAGCCTGTTACTTTACAGCCTTGCAAAACTTCATAAAATTCTTTACTGCTCTGCTCTGCCATATGCTCGGCTCACACTCTAACATTTTGTTATGGATCGGGCCGAATTTGAGGCCTACGTTACAACTTGTCCAGGCTACAACGACCACAGTTCTTCGAAAAACAAATTCATTCAGAAGATGATAAATTCAATCGAGCATGCGCTTTGGAATTAAACATGCCCTTACGTTACGTACACTAGTTTTTCAACGCCTTCTGCAATTTTTTCAGCCCAGTTTTGAGGAGATAGTGCTCAACTATCGATTTTTGACGGAAAAACCAAACTTAAAAAAGGAATGGCGCTACTTTTTGGAGAGTGTCATGGTGGAATGTTAGAAGGACGTCGTGACTGACTAGAAGTCGCATTGTTGCCCAATTTCTTTCTTGAGCTACGACGGGAAAATGAGTTGGAGCTGGAAGTTCGTCCAATTGATTTTCGTCGACTGGACCTCTCATTTCGTAGGCCTACAATTCAAGGTGTTCGAAACTGATCTGGAAGAGGCACGTGCTGTTTCATAGATCACAACAATCTTCTCAATTTGTATATAGCACGATGTGAAAAGATGGAATACCTGGAGAAAATTTTTAGTTGAAAAAAACAACACTACTTATTTGGCAACCTAATAGTACAACACTCCATGCACTGAAGTTGAAGTGTTGCTGTGCGGTAACCTACGTTGCACCCTACGTTTTCTATCTGATAGGTTTCATTTTCGTCGTCACCTTACTTTACCTTCACAAATTAATTTTCTTTAGTTGTCATCCAGTCAAAGAACAGTTCTAAAAGGTTGAGGTACTTCTAAAAAAAGGAGATGCAGTTCCCACTTTGGAGTGGCCAGCAAAAATCGCATCTTCTGATGCCAAGTGGTCCGCAATAGGTCATACTTGCACCTGGGAATCTATGCCTGCCTTTATCTAACGAGTTACTCTCAGGGGCTTTCAAACTGTTTCCTCGTTGGGTGACATACAGTACTGACCACATTTATAGACGATGTGACGATATTGCTATGCAACGTAACTGATTTGTCGTTACTTTTGACTAAACGCCTCAGAAGTTAGCTTTTTACTTGTCAAAAATTGATGCCAAGCTCTGAACGTTTTGTTAGCATCAATTTCAAGTGTAGGAAAGGATAATTTGCCAAAGTGGCAGCGCAGTAAGTATATGTTGAGACTAGCACTTATTCTTCAAGAGACTTTTCAAAAATGTGTGTGACGACGGTCACCTTATTAGACACCAGAAGTGTAGCGTTTTCCCGTTTTGCGAGCGCACTGGTTTTTAGTGAGCACCCAAGAGTTCTTGAATCAGTTTCATTCAAGGATCATACAGAGGAACATGTGGAGCAGGTCTTTTGCCCAAAAAGGTATATAGAATGGACGGTAGTCGTTTGTAGTCGAGATAAAATAAAGCGTCTACCTGTGAATATCAAAAAACCACAGAACTTTTTGAAAGACTGAATTGAGAAAGAGATTATTCTATTCTTCGTACCTGGCACGAAACTAGGGAGTAGTGGCTGGCCTATTGCTACAGACGTGCGTTCCATCAAAGATCCAATAGTGTGCACTCCAACGATATTCTTGACATTGATTGCTTCCAAAACTCCTGCAAAAACAAAAGTAGCACGACACGATTCAAAAAGTTCTAAGAATCAAAACGGGGAGATTCGCAGCCTTCTTGACATGATCACATACATATTGCAGCGACAAATGCGTCATTGGTAGGAACAGGTTTGGAATGTACTTAAATGTACGTAAATGAAGAAATGATCGGGGTATACTGTGATCAGGAGGGTTCCTCTAATTAATCAAGTCCAGAAACAGTTTTCAGTTTGCACGGCAAGTTGCAGTGTAGAAAGAACACCTTTGAATGACGCCGAGTGGGGTAACTGCATGGCGCATAAAAGAACGGAATGAGTCTGTGCCAAGTGTATCATTTTCTATTTACTCCATATCCTAGAAGCAATCTGATGTTTTTCAAAGAGATCCACGCATTCGCGATAGAGGATCAGGCTTCGAGAATCCCTCAGATCAGTGACATAGATTTTTTGTGAACCAGAACATATTTAACATTTGCAGCACCCTTCGGAAGGCGTGGATCCTCTTCTGATAATTTTCTTCCATATCCGAAAGAATGCCATTAAAGAAAGGTATAGCCTCCCAAAGATTAAGAACTCGAATACATTTGACGATTGTTCCAACCAGTGCTCTACAATCAAAAGGTACGCAACGCGACCGCAGAAAGTCACTGCTGCTGCACTACGGCACGAGACTATTGACTTATTTGTAGACAGTACCTTTCCAAGCTCCTGATCGATGTGGCATGGCAAAAGTTCTGAAGTAAAAAGCGAGGGGTCAGTCAGTGTAATAATGTTAGGTTAAAGATCTGGACAGCGGAGCATTCCTGGCAGTGGAGCTGCGTCCTTATCGTGCACCTCTAGGCAACTTTTTTGCTATAGTCCGGATGGGAGAGGGCAAAATAGGTCGTATCGCGACTTTGGCGAACGACAAGAGGGTTGGAATCGTAAAATCGCTGCCATTTCCTCGACATGATTTTCAGCCTATCGCGGGATCACTATATGGACGAGGTATCACAGCGAGGGCTGAAAATTGAATACTGCCGTTGGGTATTGTGCCTGATAATCGATTCTTTAGCAGGTAGAAGGCTAACAGCAGGCTCTGCAAGCTACATATCTTGCTCGAAGTGAGAGACCATCAACAAATGGTGCTGTTCAAGTAGGATGGGCACGTCGCATTTTTGAACAGAAATGTATGTAATGGGACTGCTGCCCGCTACTATACTGTCACGAGAATCGGGGAATTCGTGAGCCAGGGGAGTGTAGCCAATCTAGGGGAGGGGGTAAGTGCAGGCACTTGACATGCTTGAAAGCTGGGCGTGCTCAACCCCTCGTATACATACTTTGACACTTTGATATTTTTTCGGCTGGCGATCTTCTCAGCGAGGACCATGGCCTTGGCTATCCTCTTGATCTCAAGCCATGTTTAGTATCATAACACGTTGCTGCTAACATTGAAGCACTATAGAGGCTCTAAGGCCGGGGTCATTTATTTGGTTTGTTACTTCTCGAATCGGTTCAGGGACTGCCCGCGTCTCCTTCGGTTTATTTCAGGAGCAGTATTGTTCGTCATGTTCAGCTCTCTTCCCAGGTACACGTAGGATTCTACTCTCTCTAGAGCTTTTCCCGCTAGTTTATTGTACCTGTATCACACCACTGGTTCACCATCATTTGCGTTTTGACATATTCATTTCCAAGCCGATCTTCAAGCCTTCCACATTGAGTTCGTTGACCATTTCTTCCATTTCGATTGTGTTGTTAGATATCAATACGATATCATCAGCGAAGAGGTTATTCATCTTTGCCCATCAATGAGGTTCCCAATTAAGGTTTGACATCACATGTAAAATAAAGTGTACTAGCTATGTACATCTGACAAAAGTTATGGAGCATTTAATCTGACCGAGCGAGTTCGAAAATGTACACTTACCAAAACCAATGAATTCGAAAAGTTCAGTTATAGCGACATCGAACTTCTCTGATTCGAGTTGTTGTAGAAGGTTTTTGTTGTCAAGCAATTCTAGGACAGAACACGAAAACTAGATACTTACGAGTAAATTTGCCAAAATTCCAAAGAACTGAGACATGATAAAATATTCCGCTCACCTATCGTGGATCTATGCATTACGCGCGTCAACGTTGGCAAAAACTAAACACAATTATTACACATTATGACGTTGTTTGGAGCGCTATAATGCTGCGATTCTTACCGATAATAAACCAAAGGGATTGGATGGATCATCAGTCCACAAATTTCTTTTTGCTGCACCATTCAAATGTGCATTAACACTGTCGATCAGTTTAGTAGAAGGATTTATCTGGATGAGTCGAGACTTTGTGGTACCGTTGCCAACGAGATGCGCAATAAGAACAGGTTGTAGGGTTACCTGAATAACAATTTGATTCTCACGGTAGAATGATGGTGCTCGTGGGCATCTCTACAAAACTGATTCCTTTAATTGAACTTTTGCTGATGCTGATACGATACCACGGGCAATCATAGAGATTAGATTCACATACATGCTATCCTACCAACGAGAGTCACAATAGGGTGTAATATCATTACCTAAGAAGACCACGATTAGGTAACTGTCCAGATGGAGAATGAATACTTGGTAAAGATAAAGCATGCGTACGTCCAGAGCTCTGCGTGGGACACCCAAAACTTGCAGAAAGGGATCCTAATTTTTGATGTTGGTTCCTGTTTTGGATGGGCCAGCGACCAGAACAGATTATTTTCGGAGCGATTGATCATCGGCATCACGACAACGTCATGCGCCATCACGCCAATGCCGTGTGATCGATGTAGCGACCTACTCGACTGCTGCCAGCTCAACTCCAAGTATCACTCGAAATCCCATGGTGATGGTCCCACGACTGCGTGAGCAGCACGAAACAGCTCAGCTCGAATTAGCTCTAGGGAAAATCAGTATGTGAAGGCATTCAGCATGCGGATCTACAAGGTGAGATGGTGCCTTCTTATTTTGATTAGTTGAAGCTCTTTTGGGTTTAGCTGATCTCTGATAAGAAGTAATTTGAATACGACGTGTCGCATGGTATCACAGCTGATGGTAATATCCCGAACTGGACTCGAGCGGCTGTTATTATCTTTCTAGTAATCGTTCACTGTCGTTCTCAAGTGAGGATCATTTTAGGAATTCTACTTTCATTCACTACACCGCCATCCATTACAGTCGATCCGCCAACCAGAATATTAGCATCACCGAAGTCAATAAGTCCTACAGAACCCATCTGGGGGGTCACTGTGAGGCAGATCCACGGTGGTGGCTTGAAGTAAGGTATGGTGGAAAACCTCTATCAATACGTTGCTTTACCGTATGGATGCTAGAGCAGGAGATCAGCATGTTTAGTGTAGGCACACTGCCTTTTCAATGTATCTAGGCGAGTTGAGCTCCGTGGAAAGCTCGACTCGCCCAAGTCGAAAAGTCTGTATACTTCCTCCATGCCGATAGAATCGCAAAAGAGTGGAGAGAAACTATACTTTTGAAACAGTGAGCATTTTCTAGTGTGAAAATATTTTTCTAACCGATTCTGCTCTCTGTACATCGACTATAGCTTCAGTGCATGCTGAGTTAATAAAGTGAGGGCAAGCCATGAATTCTTCATCCTAACTTGGAAAAGCAATTACGAGGAGTGCCTTTATACTTTTGAAATGTATTGTACGTCTACACCATTATTCTGACGAGCGGTGTCCTCCTTCTTAACATTCCATTCATCCTCCCATTGTTGCCTCACCAACAGTGCTGGTTAGCATCTAACAAGTAAGGGAAAGTGTAGCTAGTAGGCAGCTAGGCATATTTTTACTACTTCTTCATAATTCTTTATTTTTTCGCAACTTGGCGGATCCTAAAGCGTTTAGTTGAGCTTGGGGATCTGCGTAAATGCTCTAGGATCTGAGGGATCCTATGTAGAGCTCAAACATTGACGAAAGCGCAGGACATATGTAGTACATACAGTTTGCAGGCCATAACGAACGGTGCGGGATGTATGTGTTCCGCACCCACTACATGCATTTTTCCACGCACGCATGTTTCACTTTCAAGTGTATTATGTTTAACACATGAAAGAAACCCTATCATAGTGCCCATGAAATGGCCACGTTTGCTTTGACTTAGAGGAAGATTTTTGAGGCTCACGAAATTTCCAGTTTATTCGATTTATAGTTTTCTTATGTTTTCATGAATGTCTAGACTAAAAGAGTAGTAGAAGTAATGATGTCCTGATGGATGGCAAGATATGTGGTTTGACTGAAACAACCCGGACAATATTGGCGCGACTTCCAGTGTTGGCAGGCCACGGCTCTTCATCACGGAGTCTCCCTCTTCCCCTCTGGAAATTTCATGCCTCCCTCTATCATTACAATAATCCTACTGTATATAATTCGCTAAGTATGTCTGTGTGTGTAGGTCTGTGTGTGTCTGTCACGAAATTCATAGCGCGCTTCGCTGCAACAGTGGAGCGCTGTATTTTGAGTATGTTGTAGGGGGTGGGACGGGAACATATTTGGTGGGGGACTAAAGTGATAACGACTGATAAGATCCGATAAGAGGCGCCAAAACGCCAATTCCACGATATCCATAGCGCGCGTCCCAGCATCAGTGAGGCGTTGGTTCCAAGAAGTGATGTAGAGGGTAGGACGGGAACATCTTTGGTGGGGGACCAAAGTGATAACGACTGATAAGATCCGATAAGAGGCGCCAGAAACGCCAATTCCACGATATCCATAGCGCGCGTCCCAGCATCAGTGAGGCGTTGGTTCCAAGAAGTGATGTAGGGGGTAGGACGGGAACATATATGGTGGGAAAAGAAAGGGATAACGGCTGATAAGGGCCGATAATAACGATATGCGCAAGAATATAGAGGTCACTCAAAACCAGACTTTAGATAAAGCATTTCATTTCAATATTCTTTCATTTGCGTTGTTATCATCAGCCCGAAATACCACTAAACCGCTATGCCCCCAGAGTTCCTAAAAATGTATGGTGTAAGTTCAAAAATACGATAACGAGTGCTGGATGTTTATATTTTAACATCACACACAATCCGACCGCTAAATTACACTGGCATTCGATGCATGGTGGTTGTTTACAGACACCACTTTAGCTCCGCACTCCACTGCGCGTATCAAACGGTGAGCTTCTGCTAAGCTAGCGCTTTGTCGGCTGTCCTGTCTCATCGCGACCTTCCGTCAATGCGCGCGGTAGCGTGCGGCGCTAAACTGGTTAAAATAAGCGCTGACTCTATTTCCCACTCACGTTCGTAATAACTGTAAAATAAAGTGTACTAGCTATGTACACTCGGAAAGAGTTATGAGCATTTAATGCTGACGGACGAGTTGGGAAAATGTACTACCAAAACCAATTGATTGAACGAGTTAGTTAATAGGACTGATTATCTCTGATTGAAGTTGTTGTAGAAAGGATTTTTGTTGTCAAGCAATTCTAGGACAGAACACGAAAACTAGATACTTACGAGTAAATTTGCCAAAATTCCAAAGAACTGAGACATGATAAAATATTCCGCTCACCTATCGTGGATCTATGCATTACGCGCGTCAACGTTGGCAAAAACTAAACACAATTATTACACATTATGACGTTTGGAGCGCTATAATGCTGCGATTCTTACCGATAATAAACCAAAGGGATTGGATGGATCATCGTCCAATTTCTTTTTGCTGCACCATTCAAATGTGCATTACACTGTCGATCAGTTTTAGTAGAAGGTTAATACTGGATGAGTTAGACTTTGTGGTACCTTGCCAACAGATGCGATAAGAGAGAGGTTGTAGAGGTTACCTGCATAACAATTTGATTCACGGATAGAATGATGATTGCTGTGGGCAATCTCTAATAAATGATCCTTTAATTGAACTTTTGTTGATGCTGATACGATACCACGGGCAATCATAGAGATTAGATTCACATACATGCTATCCTACCAACGAGAGTCACAATAGGGTGTAATATCATTACCTAAGAAGACCACGATTAGGTAACTGTCCAGATGGAGAATGAATACTTGGTAAAGATAAAGCATGCGTACGTCCAGAGCTCTGCGTGGGACACCCAAAACTTGCAGAAAGGGATCCTAATTTTTGATGTTGGTTCCTGTTTTGGATGGGCCAGCGACCAGAACAGATTATTTTCGGAGCGATTGATCATCGGCATCACGACAACGTCATGCGCCATCACCGTAATGCGGTGATCGATGTACTACTACTCGACTGCTGCAGTAACTCCATATCCTCGAATCCATGGTGATGGTAGGACGAATGCGTGACAGCACGAACAGCTCAGCTTGATTAGATCTAGGAAATCAGTATGTGAAGGCCATTCAGCATGCGGATCTACAAGGTGAGATGGTGCCTTCTTATTTTGATTAGTTGAAGCTCTTTTGGGTTTAGCTGATCTCTGATAAGAAGTAATTTGAATAGAGTGTGCATGTATGACAGCTGATGTAATTGGAACCTCATTAATGGGAAAAAAATGAATAACCTCCGTTTCGCTGATGATATCGTATTGATATCTAACAACACAATCGAAATGGAAGAAATGGACAACGAACTCAATATGGAAGGCTTGAAGATCGATGGTGAATCAGTGGTGCGTTAAAGGTACAATAAAACTGGCGGGAAAAGCTCTAGAGAAAGTAGAATCCTATGTGTACCTGGGAAGAGAGCTGAACATGACGATTGCTCCTGAAATAAACCGAAGGAGACGTGCTGCATGGGCAGCCTTTGGAACGATTCGAGAAGTAACGGACCAAATGAAAGATCCCGACCTCAGAGCCTCTATATTTAATGCTTCAGTGTTACCAGCAATGTGTTATGCCACTGAAACATGGCCTGAGAACAAGACAATAGCCAGCGGCATACAACAAGCTGCAAACAATACATCGTGGGCTAGAAAGAAGTTTGATAGAATTTAGTCGACATCAGCAATGGAGACAGAGCCTACGAAGTTCAGAATTAAGATCACACCTGAAAGATCCCTGCAGTACATGGCACAATCGAAACATCGTTGGGCTGGTCATTTACTTCGCCGAGACGATGACAGATGGAGCCTCCGAGTCACTGAATGGCTCCCAAGAAACAAAACAAGACCGCTAGGACCACCGCAAACCCGGTCCTTTTCAAGTCATTTCAGACAACGTGGTCTACACTGGATGCAAGTTGCCAGAAACCGGGAAGCATGGAAGAGCTGTGGTCCCCGCTGAGAAGATCGCCAGCTGAAGGACTATCAAAGTATCAATGCGAACTAAGTAAGTATGATAAAATGCTGCTAAAAACTTGTTTTAATTGGTCAAAGCGCTTGTATAACAATCGACCGGAATACGTAAAATTACGGTAATTTTTGAGATTGCA